TTTTTGGTGGTCCTTTAAATTTAGATAAAGGCCGAGTTTAAATGTTTGAGGTGGAAGGTAGCAGATGTTTGGAAACAACCCCCGAACGGGTTCGATTTTCTCTATCCAAATACCATTGCGCCTAATCGGCCTTCTATTCGTACTAGGGCATAATGGTACAGGCTTCTTGGACATCGGCACCAGAGTCAGCGCCGAAAGTGACGAACTGCAACGGCCGCCAGTTCACCAATACAGAAATGTGCCAATAAATCTGATAACTCGCCCAGATCATTATCCGTTTCCTCCACCCTCTGAAATTTACCTGTTCCGACGGATGCCTTTCGGGATACGGAACGCGCCTGCGACTTTCTGCCAGCTATTTCTCCGCCCTTTTATTCCACCTTGGGTTGTAATATTCTTTGCCATTTTCTTTTGTTACTTTTCTGGTAGTGTGATTTTTGTTACTCTTCTTTCCTTTTTTATTTCTTTGACATCTTTTCTATCTTTTGTTTGTGTCTTTTGCCCCCGTTCTTATTTCCCTTTTACCTCCTTCCATTATTTGTTTCTCATTCCATTCCCTCTTTTTTGTTCTGGTGACATTTTCGTTATACTTTTATATCACAAACAAAATTTAGAATTGTTTTTTTGAGAAGTCTAATAAATTAATCACTCATATCGGGTATCCCCATTAAACAACCCCCGAAAATTATTTAGTAATCAATAAGTTTACGTATAATCTTCAATGTCAAGTTATAAAAGTATCTAGGCGAATTAATCTTTCATAGACACAATTTTTATAATGGCCCATTCATCATTTTGTTTGTACATTCGTAGGCAAATATAAATTACGATTTTACATTGGCATCGTCGCGTGCATCTATCCGAAATTGATTTTTGCCCTCAGTTGCGGCATTTAAATTTGAAGTGCACGCACAATCGCCATCAATTGTTTATGTTTCTCTTTGCAATCTCGACTTCGATCTACGAAATGTCTTTTTTACCATATCGTATGTGTTAAAACGATATCTAGATCAATTATTCGCAGAAAATCCACTAATTGCCATTGTTGGGGGTAATTCGATTACCGTATCATGATGGAGGGTGGAGCGGCCGCTCCAGTCCTCGCGCTGAAAATAAATATAAGGTTTGATTTAATGAAAATAAAAATAATATAATAATATTTTAATATATAAATATACCGGGTGCCCATTATGTATGGAATATAGTATATATTTCGAATGTATACAACAATTTTTTATATTATGAAAGTTGTTTAACATTTTATTTCCCATAATAAAGCAGCATTCCATTGCTTTTATTCCACAAAACAAATGAATAACGAAAATAATTGAATTTTTTTAAATAGCAACGCACATTTTCATTAGGCTCATTTGATTTCTTTTCTCTTTTCAATGACATAACACGTTGGCACCCGTGTAGAAGAAGTTAATTTTTATTTCAAGTTTTTAGCGCATTTTTGAAAAAATACCCTATTATATTCGTTATGGCTGGCTGGCTGGCTGTCCGGCTGAGATCTTAGCAACTACAATAGCTAGAGACTCAAATTATTACTAAAAGCTTTCTGCTATAGTGTAGATGTGCAGGCTCTAGTGTATTTTGAGTTAGATTACTTGTGAGATCGATAATTTAAGAAAATAATTTCGATATGGTTTTTGGAGGTGCTATAATTTTACCGTTAGATAGCGCTACCAGTATAAAAGCTTAATTATTTACTTTGTGATTTGTTTTACAAAATAAAGACGTACCCTTAATTGAAATTAAATAAAATTAATTATTTAACGCAGCCAAAATGACTCGTGAGATCGATAATTTTAAACTTCACTAATAAAATACTAATCTGTATTACCAAAAATGCGCTTTAATCATGCATATGCTGATTTACAACTTGTTTGGGATAGGTTATGCCATTGCCTTGCAGTGAATGATGAACATTTTGAACATTCATTGCGATGAAAACCATTTTACTGCTAATTTCGTTTTGTCTTCAAGGTTTAATAAGAAACGTACACGTTCATTTGTTTTATTTTTATGTAGGATATCTGGATTAATTTTATTCATCTAATTATGATACATTTTTGTGAAAAATTTTCTTGAATAAGGGTGCTAACATGTTATATCATCGAAAAGGGAAAGAAATCTATCAAATGATCCTAATGAAAAGGTGCATTGCCAATTAAAAAATTCAATTGTTTTTCGTTACTTACTCATTTGTTTTCTGAAATAAAAACAACTGAAAGCTGGCATTTATGGGAATAATTTCATATATATTCGATATCTCCCGAGATATACAGGGTGTTTTTTTGGGAGCTTTAGTTAAAAGTTTCTGGGAAAGTAAAATAGGTAGGTTTTTGAAAATTTGTACTTAGGAGTTACTCTGAAGGCCGAATCGATGTAAAATATTTTCAAAATGGCCGCACTTCCGGAAACACCGGAAGTAGATAGTAACTTCGTTATTTTAAATGGCAACCCCTATTTTTTATTGCATTTTTGGATTCTACGTGAAATTTCAGTTCTTTTGATACCCATATCTGCCATTTATGGTTTTTAAGTTATTTTGACTTTAAGAAAAAAAATGGCGGATGCAGATGGTACCTTGATAATTGATTACTTGAAAAAGGTTATAGTCATGGCAACCCATTTTTATCAGTGCATAGAGAATGAATAGGGCTTTCTTTTAGTGCACTTAAAAAAAAGTTAAGTTGCGTACAACCGCCCCTATGGATATCCAACTTTATGAAACTTCAAAAACTAAAAACTCAGTTTTTTTAAATGGAATGACCATGTTCTTACTACTCCATGAGATAGAGAATCGAAATGGGCATATTTTGACAATACATGTTCCTATAGCTATCTTTAACAGTTTCTGACTTATTCCCATTTTATTGAATTGACACTATTTTTTTCGGATTTTCTTTTTAGTAGTCGGCCATGATTCTATAACAATTGAATTTTAAACAAATCTAGTGACACTAATCCATCACCCACTGTTATAGGTTAACATAAGTTTTTCAAAAATCGAAAAATGACTCGCAGTGGTTTCACCTATTTTGGAATTTAATTGTTATTTATGGTGAAATGGGCAGAATCGCGGCGCGTGCTTTCCTTACATTCATTCGAAAACTGGAACGAAATTGTATGAATTTTGGAAATTTTGTACCCCTAATGCACTACAAACCGTTGAAGCATAAGTGATACAAAGCTCTACAAGAGAATATTTAAGAAAATGAATTGAATTGCAAATGCAAGATTAACAAATTAAATTCAATGCAAAATATAAAAAACTTCGTTGAAACATTTTTGGTATGGAATTGTTGCTAGAACAGATATCGCATTACCTTTCTGAATTTCCAGACTTATAAGTTGTTTAAGAAATTCAGTTGAACGACTCTGTTTAGATTTTTCAAAAATTTTCCGTCCTATATCCTTAATAAATGAGTTATTTATTAATGAATTATTTAGACTAGAACTAGAATCAATGGTATTAAAGAATCCATTCCTTGATTTGTTTAAAATTCGATTGTTATAAAATCATGGCCAACTACTAAAAAGAAAATGCGAAAAAAATGGCATCAATTCCGAGATCAATTCAATGAAATGGGAATAAATCAGAAACTGTTAAAGATAGCTATAGGAACATGTAATATCAAAATATGCCAATTTCGATTCTCTATCTCATGCAATATTAAGAACATGGTCATTCCATTTAAAAAAACTGAGTTTATAGACTTTGAAGTTTCTTAAATTTGGATCTCCATAGGTGCGGTTGTACGCAACTTAACTTTGTTTTAAGTACAGTAAAAGAAAGCCCTATTCATTCTCTATGCACTGATAAAAATGGGTTGCCATGACTATAACCTTTTTCAAGTAATCAATTATCAAGGTACCATCTGCATCCGCCATTTTTTTTCTTAAAGTCAAAATAACTTAAAAACCATAAATGGCAGATATCGACATATGGGTATCAAAAGAACTGAAATTTCACGTAGAATCCAAAAATGCAATAAAAAATAGGGGTTGCCATTTAAAATAACGAAGTTACTATCTACTTCCGGTGTTTCCGGAAGTGCGGCCATTTTGAAAATATTTTACATCGATTCGGCCTTCAGAGTAACCCCTAAGTACAAATTTTCAAAAACCTACCTATTTTACTTTTCCAGAAACTTTTAACTAAAGCTCCCAAAAAAACACCCTGTATACTACATTCCATACATAATGCGCACCCTGTATAATATAGTATATAAAATATCTGTCTGATTACCCGCACAATATGTTCAACTATTGATTAATTAAAAAACCTACGAACGAAAGTCTCATTCGTACGTCATAGTCATTAGTCGCGAACAAACCCTCGCGCTCGCCGGTGAGTGAATCATTCTTGCATGATCTCCTCCTCTCCCTTCGCCGCGTGACAGTCATTCAAAGTGCTTAAAATGACGACTTTGCATGTATAATTTTGCAAAAATTTCCGGAGTAGGACCCACTCCCCTCGGGGGTATTCCATACCCCGCCCCCCTCGGAAATCATTGTTAAAAAAGGCCCCGCAAAAATATTTCGCTCCAGGCCTCGCATTTGCTAAGGACGGCTCTGGATGTGGTACACAAAGGCCACATGAAAAGCCGCCAAGCGTGCTCAGATGGGTTTGGTGCTAGGTAGGGGCTCGAATCCTACGCTTTTTACTCCATGGTTGTTTCTTTTATGGAAACGTGGGACACATCGGGAAGATAATTAACTAAAACCACTAGTTTTGTGCGTTGGAAGAGATGAGAAAAATGAAAGGGAAATAGTATTTTCGCTTGGACAATTTTTAGCGAATAAAATGTAGTCTGTTTTAAGGTTTTCTTGATAGATATAGAAAATGGTTGACGTTTCTAAAAAAAGACGAGGCAAACAGGGTCCATAGCTCAACGGCCGCCATTTTTCCAAGATGGCGGCTTTAGCACAGAGTCGGGAAATTGCACCCGTAGAGATTCATTTGTTAACGTACCGAAAACGTCCTCTAATCTCACTTTTCTTTTAGAACTGGCAGTATAGAAAGGCTCGACGATACTGGTCATTCCCATAGGATAATATCAGGATACAACCAAGTCGAGGATAATATCAATGTTGTCGTGAGGTAAAAAAAAATCGTTTTTGTTAATGCAAGGCAACTAATCGGCGTTTCCTTCCAGAGTGCGGCCTCTAAACCACAAGGAAGTTAAGGCGAGAGACATTTCTGTTATACAGTTTCCGGGAAATGGACAAATATTGGTGGGTATAAATCAATAATAGCCTAATCACTTGTCATGTCTCTGTATAATCAATGTGCCGTTTCCTTATCTACTTACACATAAAGCAAAGTAATACAAAAGTGTTGATGTAGTTAACGAATGAACAGGTTGTTAATATTACTACCACCAAAAAGTTTACCTACCACTTATGCCCCTGCAAATATAAAGACGTTTATAGATGCAATAGCCAAACTTCACAATACCATGCGATATTAAAAATTCAGGTGTTTAAAAAGCATATTTGCCAGTACATACACACTTATAATGCAACCGAAGTAATTGGAAATCATTACTCATTCAAGTGGATTGTGTTCCTGTCCGCAATTACATTTTATGGATTATATCAGAGTGTTGACAGTTTAATTGGGAAGCGGGTTTTCTGAGTAACAAGCGCGTCAGTCCAACATACTGTTAATTATTGTTATTATAGCCGATCTGACATCTTGTTATAAGGGCACCTGTAAACTATTCTATGCTGCGCAATAAAGGTTACACATACGTAGTCACTAGAACTACTTACATATATGAAGAGTAAGTTCCGTATGAGAACTGGTACCTAACGTATGTAAAGATCTGGTGAATCGTGGTCGTAGAAGGAACCCCTCTAGTTCCTAACAATGTTTTGTCGAGGAAGATAGGAGGAAGGCAGAGAGAAAGTGGCCCATCAGCGTCCTCGTTTCAGAATAGGTCAAGTATAGAAGGTTGTTTCGTCGTTTGGCAAGGATGCACGTGTGAGTAGTGGCCGGTAAAGTAAGTATCTCTAATGTATGGTGGGCATATGAGACGCGTACCTTTGGGTTTACCCATACGCAACGCTAAAAATCCAAGATGGAAAGATTCTTGACTGAAGACACTCCTTTTCTTCTTTTTTTTTTAAATTGTTTTCTTGTTTTGTTATTATACAGAGTGGTGACTTGCGTAACGCATCATAGGGATTTCAATGTAAAATTCATAACATGCGATTATTGGCTCCCCAAATTATTTTAGAGCAAAAATTTATTAAGGTTTTTTGTAGAAAAAATTTTTTTACGCCAATCAACTGTATTAGTTTTCAATTTTTTGCATAATAAAGATGGAAAATTGGAAAAATAAAACCCGCATCTTTTTCAATAATCTGCGATGCCATGGAATTTTCTAAAACAAAAAGATATCTAGTTATCAATTAGCAGCAGTTCGAAATGGATTTTATGATCGACTTGGTTACTGTCTTGCAGTTAATGGTAACTTATTCGAGCATTTATTGTAAATTGTTATATTAGGAAACCGTTTTTAGTAATTTGGTCTTTCTTTATATTGAATTCGCTGTTCTAAATATAATACTTTTTGATAGAATTTGATTTGTTTTATAGCAGACATTCCATGGCATGACGGATATTGGCGTAGTTTTTCTATTATAAAATTCCATGGCATCACAGATTATTGAAAAAGATGGAGGTTTTAATTTTCCAATTTTCCGTCTTTATTATGCAAAAAATTGAAAACTAATACGGTTGATTGCCGTAGAAAAATTTTTCCTACAAAAAAACTTAATACATTTTTGCTCTAAAATAATTTGGGGAGCCAATAATCGCATGTTATGAATTTTACATTGAAATCCCTATGATGCGTTACGCAAGTTACCACCCTGTATATTATTGAGGTGGAAGTATGTCCAATAAATGGCTTATTATTATTATTATTAAGTTCGGTAGGAATTATTTAAAATAAATGCCGATTAACATTTTCAAAAACGTAAAACATTTTGTTCCCTAGGCGTTTGAAGAGAAGATGAGTTGTCCACGAAGGTCCAGAACGTGAGGTTTGTTGATCTCTTGTTAACGTATATTTCCGTTTGTTGTAGGTGGAACACCTCCCCAACGGCGGTAGCGCTCACAAATCGAAACTCTTCTCCTACAATGTCGTCTTCGAGCCGGCCGCGACCCAAGAAGACGTCCTCCAGTTCTCCGGTATAAAAAGGCTGATCGAAATGGCCGTCGAGGGTTTCAGGTGCACCGCCTTCTGCTACGGGCAAACAGGCAGTGGAAAAACTCACACTTTGACCGGTCCACCGAAATTGGTAAGACCCCCGATGTCCATTAGTGACCTACATACGATAATCTTTAGTTCGACAAGAAGAAGCCCTCTTACAGTGACGCTCACGGGTTGGTGTTTAGATCGTTTATGTACTTATTCAAATTGCTGAACGAAAAGTCGGACGTCAGTTTCATACTTAAGGCCAGTTTTTTGGAGATTTACAACGAAAAGGTAAGCATTAGTTTTATTTCGATTAATTAATAGCTAAATATTGCAACTATTTATGGTTAACCACGTTCGATTCAGCCTCAGAATATTTTCTGAGGAAGACTTTGTAATATTTCGTAATGCAATTTTCCATGCGAATCGCTTTCTGCCCAATCGTCGGACCGTGAGAGTGCCGACACTGCTCCAGAATAAGCTCGGCAATTTTGTGCATCGACTTCTTTGTGTGCGCGTCAAGTTTGATACTCTCAACGATCATCTTTTTGAGATTATCAGCGATAAAGTCCCCAAAGTCGTCCAGGTATCCCATTCGTTTCCAGTAACACTCCGTGTACCTTGCGTAATCCTCGTCTCCTTCGGGTGTATAGTCCTCGCCGTTGATCTTCATGATCTTTTCCACCTCCAGGTTTAGTTCCGTGACGCACGCTTGAGCTGAGCTGTCGGCGGCATCGCGCCTTGACCTCAACGCCATCAGGCATCCCTACCGGACCTTGCAGGGGTTATCATAATTTTAAAAAAACGTTAACTCACCTGCAGAGACAACAACCAGCAGAAACCCAAAAGGATAATTCTCATTATAGCGCCGTTGTTTTGTTAGCTTCTACGAAGTTAGAACGAACACTATCTATACGGATCGACCTCTTGAAACTTGACCTTTGTTATCAAGTGGCAGTAACGAATAACACATGCTGACCTTTTTTTTGATGGCACGCATCTCAAAATGGCCGATCCGTCTGGTTTATGGCCCAAATTGAAACCGTCAGGTATGTACGGCCCCCGTTTGCGTATAGGTAACATATTTATTTTAGAATGCCGTTGAATCGGAATGCGAAGATTAAAAAATGTAATAATATTCATAGGTCTTTTTCCTTTCCGCTTTTGGAACGACCACTTGACATGAGACGTCCAAATTGTCCATACATGGCTGAATCCGACACTTTTCTTGTAAACAAACCCAACAGAAACAAATGCGCCAGGTTAACTCAAAACCTTTTTACCTCGTTGACTTCAAAGGACCCAATAGGTATATAGAAAATCCTTTATTAGACGCCAGTTTTGACCAAAAATAATATGAAGCTAAGAAGAAGGGAAACAATGTACATGGACGAATAAGAAAATGTAAGAAAAAGACACTTCGGTGGATTATTGGAATCCAGTACTTTGTGTTTGTTTTAATCACGTTTTTACCATGTCATTTATCGGTATATTCCTTGTACGTCCGTGTAAGTATGTACCTTCTGGAATCTCATCAATAAAATAGAGTCTTATTCGGAAGAGGGAGTTTTGTATTTTCATCTTCTAACAAGCTGTACTTTTACGTATACTGGAATTCCTTTGGACGAATGTACGTATTTTGTCCCACAGACGTACGTACAGATACGCAAGACATATGTTACCATCTGAGAAGTAATTACCTAATTTTCCTGCTTTTCCATGGCGTCTACACTTACACTAATCAAATAAAGAGGTTTTTACCCTAATCGATTACTCCCGACTGGGAATAGCAATCATTTCGAGTACGTTTTGTGACCAAGTTTGGCACTTAAAATATTTAATAATTAGCAACATTTTTTAAACAATTCCCCATGTTCACAGCCCTTAGGGCCGGCGTGTCGCCGTTAACCCCTTTGCATTTCTTTAGGACAGCATCCGCCTTCACCGCGCTGACTTGATGATTGTAAATCTCGTGCGCGACCTCGTAGTACATCCCCCAAATTTCCGCCAAGTTTAGTTCGCCGCGCGAATTCAAAAATCGAATTTTTCTCCACAGGCACTCGATAAAGGTAAGATAGTCGTCGTCGGTTGACGGCAAGTGCCCTCCCCTGTGGATTCTGTAGATTTTGTCGGCGCTGAGTCCGTGTCGTTCGATGCACCAGTCCGACTCCTCCTTGAAATCTTTGTACGCCATAGCGGCCTAGGGAGTAGGTATACAACGTTTAAACTGGAAAAATGGAGCAACTTACCTGAAGAAAGAGTATGGCGGCGAAAATTCCGAACGCGTTCATTGCGGTATAGGAGTTGATCTTGATTTTGGAGATTTAAAAGTGGGACGCTGTGTATTTATAAGTTGGCTGGCTATCAATAACAAAATGGCGATAACGAATTAGTTATAATCACGCGTGGATGGCGGTTTCGTGGAATGTAATTAATGATGCTTCTTACTGCTAAGCAATCACTTTTGGGAAGTATGTTGTCACGTTGTACATAGTACGTACGTCATATGTACGTTCATTTCTAATACATGCGATCAAAAATGAGTTGTCTGTCTAGTCACCTTTGGAATTTTTGTTTACATGAGAAATCGTACTTAACATGAACTTCCAAAGGCGACTCGACAGCAACTCATTTTTGATCGCCCGTTAATCTACACGGTAGCTTGTGTCTCCCATAAAAGTACGCACTGAAGACCGCCTGATTCCATGGAAAAGACAAATGAGGAGATCATATCAGAAGAATAGAATTGCAAAAAATGAATGTATTTATCAAAAATTAATTGTTCTTCAAACAGTTTCCCATATTAATGGCTCTAATAGCTGGCGTGCTGCCCCCTGCGAGTCGGCACCTTTCAACAACGGCATCCGCTCTCCTGGCGCTTTCGACTTCGTCGTGACCCTCTTGGGCGACTCGATAATACTCCCTAATTTTGGCAAGGTTGAGTTCTCCGTCGCCGTCCAAGAATTGAATCTTCCGCCACAAGCATTCCATAAATGTCGAGTAAGGTTTACTGTCCTGGGGCAGATGGGCGCCGCTATGAATTCTATAGATTTCGCTGGAATTGAGATCGTAACGTTCTATGCACCAATCGGATTCTACTTTGTAATCTTTCAACGCGAGGGAAATCTGAAACGGCGATAAAGCAATCGGGCAATATCCGTCTTACCATTGAATATGGTCTGACCTACCTGTAGTAGACCACAAAAGAACAAAATTGTTAAAGGGAGCTTCATCTTATTGTTTGTATTCTCTCGACTGATCTAAGTCCAAGTCAGTATTTTTGTGAAGTCGTACTGATAGCAGAGGTCGAGGTCAACGAAGTTGGAGGCACTATGCTATAAATACTCAATTAACTTTTCTCAGACCGTACACTCATGCTTTCATGCGCTCAACTTCCTTGGAAAATGCGCTAAAAATTAAGAAAAGTGATTTTGGGCTACCATGAGGGGCAAAATCAAACTGATCTGGATGATAGTTTTTTTTGTTTAAAGGATGCCGCCTGAAAATTTGTTCAAGTGTTCAAAAAGGGCCTATAATCAGCCTATAATTCTGATGTATTTCGTCCTTCATTTTTCTAAAATGGCTCTGCTGGCTTGTGGGACCTTAGCATTCGCACTATATGGCACTATGACACCACCAGAAACCGACCCAGTCAATGCCATCAACGGGGGAAACTACGCCTGTGGCGAGAGCAGTGGTGGGGCCAGTTCCGTCGTTACCGAGACCTCGCACTGCCGCCTCCCCCAGCTGTGGTCGAAGCCGCCTTCAACGTGCACCAAACCCGAGCCAACACCAGATAGGGCCACATTCTATAAGAAAAATTTTTTTCCGGATCAATCTCAGAGAATTTTTTCTTCGGGACTCAAAAAAAGGCAGTGTATTACCTTCCTTTTTTTACCAAAAATCGACTACACCAATAATTCTCGGGAAAACACTTTTTCTTATTAATTTGGGTGCGTAGAATCCAAATCAATTTGTACTATTTCGATCAGACTTCTCAATCAAAAGTTATAGACTAGAAAAAAATTCAAAGGGCTGTAACTTTTGAACTAATAACCCAATCTTGGAACTGTTTGAAATTATGCCTGGCAGACCTTCGGGGTATAGGCTACCTACTGCAGACAATTCCCCCAAAAGTAGTTCATAACCGCAGAAGTGGGGCCGGACAAGAATTGCTTTAAAACTTAAAAGCGACATACTTTCATATACAACCGAACAGAAAAATTTATACAGGGTGTTTTTTTGGGAGCTTTAGTTAAATGTTTCTGGGAAAGTAAAATAGGTAGGTGTTTGAAAATTTGTTACTCTGAAGGCCGAATCGATGTAAAATATTGTCAAAATGGCCGCACTTCCGGAAACACCGGAAGTAGATAGTAACTTCGTTATTTTAAATGGCAACCCCTATTTTTTATTGCATTTTTGGATTCTACGTGAAATTTTACTTCTTTTGATACCCATATGTCGATATCTGCCATTTATGGTTTTTAAGTTATTTTGACTTTAAGAAAAAAAATGGCGGATGCAGATGGTACCTTGATAATTGATTACTTGCAAACGGTTGTAGTCATGGCAACCTATTTTTATCAGTGCATAGAGAATGAATAGGGCTTTCTTTTAGTGCACTTAAAAAAAAGTTAAGTTGCGTACGACCGCCCCTATGGATATCCAAATTTATGAAACTTCAAAGACTAAAAACTCAGTTTTTTTAAATGGAATGACCATGTTCTTACTATTCCATGAGATAGAGAATCGAAATGGGCATATTTTGACAATACATGTTCCTATAGCTATCTTTAACAGTTTCTGACTTATTCCCATTTTATTGAATTGACACTATTTTTTTAGGATTTTCTTTTTAGTAGTCGGCCATGATTCTATAACAATTGAATTTTAAACAAATCTAGTGACACTAATCCATCACCCACTGTTATAGGTTAACATAAGTTTTTCAAAAATCGAAAAATGACTCGCAGTGGTTTCACCTATTTTGGAATTTAATTGTTATTTATGGTGAAATGGGCAGAATCGCGGCGCGTGCTTTCCGTACAATCATTCTAAAACTGGAACGAAATTGTATGAATTTTGGAAATTTTGTACCCCTAATGCACTACAAACGGTTGAAGCACATGTGATACAAAGCTCTACAAGAGAATATTTAAGAAAATGAATTGAATTGCAAATGCAAGATTAACAAATTTTTCAAAAATTTTCCGTCCTATATCCTTAATAAATGAGTTATTTATTAATGAATTATTTAGACTAGAACTAGAATCAATGGTATTAAAGAATCCATTCCTTGATTTGTTTAAAATTCGATTGTTATAAAATCATGGCCAACTACTAAAAAGAAAATGCGAAAAAAATGGCATCAATTCCGAGATCAATTCAATGAAATGGGAATAAATCAGGGATAATAGGAACATGTATAGTCAAAATATGCCAATTTCGATTCTCTATCTCATGCAATATTAAGAACATGGTCATTCCATTTAAAAAAACTGAGTTTATAGACTTTGAAGTTTCTTAAATTTGGATTTCCATAGGTGCGGTTGTACGCAACTTAACTTTTTTTTAAGTACACTAAAAGAAAGCCCTATTCATTCTCTATGCACTGATAAAAATGGGTTGCCATGACTATAACCTTTTTCAAGTAATCAATTATCAAGGTACCATCTGCATCCGCCATTTTTTTTCTTAAAGTCAAAATAACTTAAAAACCATAAATGGCAGATATCAAAAGAACTGAAATTTCACGTAGAATCCAAAAATGCAATAAAAAATAGGGATGGAAGTGTTTCCGGAAGTGCGGCCATTTTGAAAATATTTTACATAGATTCGGCCTTCAGCGTAACTCCTAAGTACAAATTTTCAAAAACCTACCTATTTTACTTTCCCAGAAACGTTTAACTAAAGCTCCCAAAAAACACCCTGTATAAACGTCTGTAAAAAAAACGCACGTACCCCTGGTGGGACTCGAACCCACAGTCCCCGGCTTAGGAGGCCGATGCCTTATCCATTAGGCCACAGGGGCGATGTGAGTTCGAAGAAAAGGATTGTATTTCTACGAACTCGCTTTTAAAATTAGAAACTAGCAATGACCTCATTTTTAATTTTCTGATTGTAGGTAATCGACCTACTAAATCCCGGCAGCGCCAGGAAGCCATTAGCAGTGCGATGGAGTAAGAAAGCGCGCGGATTTTTCGTAGAAAACCTCTTCACGGTGGATTGCGAGGAGCTGGACGATCTCACCGCCGTTTTGGAAGAAGGAATGAGGAACCGTTCCGTTGGAAGTCACAACATGAACGACTACTCGAGGTAAGCGAGTTCCTGCGAAAATGCGGCGTGTAAAAATTGAACTTCTTGCAGTCGAAGTCATACGATCCTAACGGTTCACATAACGTCCGAGCAGCCCGCCGAGAACGGCGTCTTCATATCTAGATCGGGCAAAATTAACTTCGTCGATCTCGCCGGGAGTGAGATGACGAAGAAAACGCAAAGCGAGGGAAAGACCTTAGAGGAGGCCAACAACATTAATAAAAGCTTAATGGTTTTAGGTAACCTTTTCGCGTTTCCATCACGTTTATTGACGCTTTCCTTGATTGGGTTTCTGACATTTCAGGATACTGCATCGCGTCGCTCAGCGACAACAAGCGCAGAAATAATCACATTCCCTACCGAGATTCACAGCTCACGAAACTTTTGGCCGACTCCTTGGCCGGAAACGGCGTTACGCTTATGGTAGTAGATACCAAACTAAAATTGTCCCAGTTTATTACGCTGTAATTACAGATCGCGTGCATTTCGCCTGCAATGTCCAATTTGTGCGAGACGATCAATACGCTAAGATACGCGGCAAGAGCGAAAAGGATCAGAACCAAACCGATCGTGTTGATGGTATACGTCCCTGAGGTATTAGACATCTTAGTTTCGGTCTTTAATTGTTTAGGATCCACGGGAGGCGCTTATACTAACTTTGAAACGGGAAGTCGGCGTTTTGCAAAGTGAAAACGAACACCTAAGAACAGCGCTACATCTGCAAGGATCCCCATCGGAGTCGCTCGGCGGTAAACGTAGCGCGTCGTCGGTCCAAGTCGATTTGGACAAACTGGGCGAGCTGGAGGGGCCCCAGCTTATAGACCTTGTAAAGTTATACGTGGCCGAAAATGAGGCCTTGCGAAAGGAGAACACCGAACTGTTCGTCTCGCGAGAGATCCTGATGAGAGACCAAGAGCTCGTGTGCCGAGATAACGAAAGGCTGCTGAAGAAGCTCGAGGAAGTCAACTCGTAAGTGGCACTCCCCGGTAGCTGTCACGTTTAATTTCACTTGCAGAGTATGCTGCCGTTCTCCACTGTTACCGGTGAAAACCAGTGCTTCGGCGAGCACACTTAATAGGTCATTCGTCGACTTGGACCTGTCGGCCACGAACATCTGGATTAATCCGACTGAAAACTCATTGAGTTCGGTAAGCGCGCCTTTGCGAAGTTTCACTAACGGACGTAACGTTTTAGTCCATGGGAAAGATCACGCTACCAGAGGTGATTCAGAAGGAGCTCGATAAAAGGCAGATCGGTGCTAGGTAAGCGACGGTACGGTACTTTACGCACTGATTTTTATCACGCTAGCGCGCATCGGAGGCACAACTCCTTGGAGGACCTCTCAAAGGCGGTCAACAACCCAGTCCGTGCGAAAAGCTCGAAGTCGGCCAATCCCGAGGATCTCGAGTGAGTAATCGCAGTAATGTGGGTAGTACCTACCATTGCAATGACAGTGAAACTATCGTGTGAGGGGATACTCCCCGGAAACACTTTCCCACACAATTTTTAGCCCTCGGCGATTTTAACTTCCCTCCCTTTTAACTCTAAAGACTTAAGAAGTACGAGGATATGAAATACTATAGTAGACTGTAGAGCGCAAGCGCGAGAAATAGAGTGAGAGAGGGAAAGATTCGACGCTTGAAGTATTTAGACCGGGAGATGGTGACACTTTTTCTGGTGTGATTTGCTACAAGTGTGGCGACCATTCAAAGGATTAATTAAATACTCCTCAAAACGAAAATGGTGCTAACTCTCTGGGAGTGGGGCCGTTATTGCGTGACGATTGTTTAAACATGTCGGAAAATTTGCTACACAAAATTCTTTGGATTTTCTGGTAGTCGGTGACAAAACAAATGACGGAAACGAAATGCCCTACTTTTCCGGTGGGCCTTATAGCCCGCCATACTCACTTGAACGTGTCGATTGTTTTTTTTTTGGGCGATTTGCTACAAGCTCATTTTTTTATGAGCATCAAGTCCTCAATCAGTCATTCACGAAAATCAACCTGCCATACCGCACCGACGGGCCCGGATAGCCGCCATACCTGCGCAAAGATGTCATTTTTGTTAATAATTTTGGGTGATTTGCTACAGTATGGCATTTAGATTTTCCGAAAGTTCATGCTCCACTTTGATCCATGATACTTAATTAATCCTTTGAATGGTCGCCACACTTGTAGCAAATCACACCACAAAAAGTGTCACCATCTCCCGGTCTAATTCGCCATCGACCCTAAGAGTAGTTGCACATAGGGTATTGCTCCCCCCGGAATACTCTCGCCTCAGGAACTCGCTCCAAAGAAATTTGACCTCGCAACGTTAGTCCCGGTGAAACCTCTTACGAAAGTGTGCTAAACGTTCACTTTTGGTTCACAGATTAAAGCTCTTACCCTCAAATAAAGGTCGAAGGAAGTGTCGTCGTCGTCCCTCGCGCCTTGTTCTTGTATTTACACCAGTGTTCTTATGATGATTTCAACATCTTGTTTCTGTTTAGCATTCGGCCACCGTCGGGACGCCGCTTCTCAATGGCGAAACCCACCAACGGCCGCGCTCACGTGGACAGCCCTCAACGTCCAGAAACCCCGGCGTCTCTGGCGTCGGTCTACAGCAGCGAATGGAATCTGGACTCTCCTTCTCCAACTAAACAACCGGACGCGCCATCTCAAAGAAACAGCCTAGAAAAACTGGACGTCGGGCGCCAATCCAAGGGTAGTATGGAAGTATTCGGCAGTCCGATATCAGTGGCGGACGATAGGGGTGAAAGCGACAGTTTTTTAATTAAGTGAAGTTTTTATATTTGTGATACAAATTAAACTATTCTTGTATGCGTATAAAGTTTTAGATTTTTACGTCTTTTAAAAACTCGCAAAATCGACCATCAGAAGTCGAGTTAATAAGATTCCTGTTAATCGTCTCTTATACTATGTGAAAAATTAATAGGCATAATTCCTCTACGCTTTAAATGTGTATGTTAGTCATTGTCAAAGACATGTCTGTAAACATTGAAGGTCATGTGATGGAACCGAATTAGCCCGCTAAAATTCGATTTAAATATTCCCGAATCCGAGCCTGGCGCGACGAAAAAGGTCAAGATTGCGCTGTGTTTCGTTTTCGTGGAACACGTGTTTTTTTCTTCTCTGCTCTACATTGAAATGGGCCATACTTTACAATAAAAGTGTCAAATATTACGCTATGCGAGGAAACTTAATGATCCGTATCGACCCGTCTCGGAGCACGTTCAAATTTCGTCTAGGATTTGTTTAAAAAAAAAAGGAGGAGAATGCGGCAGAAGTTTGTTGAGACCAGAAGTAAATATTTACGTTGCGAATAGTGAGTGCAGCTTCGACAATTACAAAGGTGATGTGCTCGTTTTACGTCTATTGCATCCCTCTAATAATGATATGATCGTGTTCGATTATTTGCCAATTTAACTTTATTCTCGTACAGCATTGATTATTGCCATTTATAACACATTCCAGATACAAATTGCTATACTGGTCCTACTGGGAATTACTGACCGATTTACGTGTTTTTATTTATATTTAGATACTGTATGTTCCCTTAGGGGCGATACCCAATACAAGGTATGCAGAACTACATTTTAATTTATAATTGAATTTATTGCAGCACATTTCGCTTTTGTTTGCAACTGTGTATTTACAGGGTGCCTCATCTGGGGGCGAGTGACGTACGTTAGGTGGTTGATTGTTACATATTGCACTTGGCATTGTGAATTAATTACTTGATACCAATGTTTGCCACGACATGTTCCTTTGTATTGTTGTAATGTGATAGTACTAAAAGTTATGCTCCTACTATTTATTTGAACCGGGTGATTATGATTATTAATATTTGGCGGGGTGACTTGTTTCGAATGTACTGTGCTATATTTGATACCGACCGTGGAGCACGCCATGTTGCAATAAAGACTTATTCGCAATGGTAAATACACTAAAAAAAAGACTTATTGTTGTTTTAAAACGTTTTTGCAACTGTTACGTGATGCACGCGACTGTGCCATATTGATAACCTTTTTAAAAATGTTGGAATTGTGGGAAAGTTAAATTGATCATTATAATTACACTTGACCATTAGAGCCATCTCCTCCAGGTTAAGTAAAAGTTAATCTTGTGGCAATTAATGTAATCGCAATTATTTAATAAGAGCGTATAATTTGAGTAATTTTACTTTATGCATTCATGTATTTACTGAAACTTTTTTCGACTACTGAATAAAAATTGTTATCGTTAGCAAAAATAAGGTGACGTATTCGCGAAAATTGTCTTTCTCACACAGTTACATAAGCCATGGGTCCATTTTCTGGTCTACTGCTCAAATTGAGCATTCATCAAAGTATTTTATTGATCACTGTTATACCTATACATTGAAAATCCGTTATAAAGTCTTTGGTCAACACGCGCAACCAATCTCACTTCGAACCAGCAAGGTGATGTTTCGATTACTAGCGATTCTTCATGCGGCAAGCACTTGCTTGGCCGGAAACTTGCGTTCGCACATTGTAGGTGGATCCCTAGTTACGACAGCTCAACATTTGCATCCTCACCTGGTTTCGGTAAGAAGCTTCGGTTATCACGGGTGTGGTGGTTCGATAGTTAACAAATGGACGGTGATCACAGCGGCCCATTGCCTTATGTATGCTTGTGTAGGTCAATTTGAATTGTTAATTGCTCAACTTTTCTAGACACTTCATCAACGACACTACAAATCTCTCCGTAGTTGCCGGGATCGTGAATTTATCGGAAACGGGACAAACAAGAAGGATAGCCAAAGTCCGAAGTCACCCGGAGTACAAACAGTTTCTTCACTACGATGTCGCGATCATGATACTTCAGCGACCTCTTGAATTCAACGATCGTGTACAACCAATTGCGATGTCCGAAGAAGAAGTCGGCGGCGACGTCGATTGCATAACGGCCGGTTGGGGCTTGACGAAAGCCAATGGGACAGGTAGCGAAGTTTTGAAAGAGCTTCGTGTGAAAAGCCTTACTAAAAAGCAGTGTCAGTCAATGCAACCGTACAAGAATGATTTTATAGGTGACGGGCACATATGTACATTGCTCAAAGTTGGGCACGGAGTGTGTCAGGGCGATTCTGGCGGTTCTCTTGTGTTTAATAATAAATTAATAGGAATTGCTTCGTGGGTGTGGCCCTGCGCTCGTGGTATTCCAGATGTATTCACAAAAATTTCGAAGTACATTGATTGGATAAAGAATGAAATGAAGCAAGAAGGTTTGACGCAATGACAATCTACTCATATAGATAATTATTGACCCATTATAGGTACTTGGTTGGAATTTTTACTATTTTTTATTTTCTACTTTTTTTTTAATGCCATTGCTGGGTCTCCTCTCTCTTCACTTATAGTGGTGACGAAGAAGCGGCGAAAGGAGCAAACAGATTGCAACGAAGTGAGGGAAGAGGAACACATAACAGCGCAAAACACTAAGGGGTTGTCCAACAATTAAATAAATCAAACTACATGATTCCCGAATACCGCCACGATAAGCCCTTTAAAGTGATGATCGGGGACAAGGTAGTCTGTGAAAACAGTCCGGAATTTGAAAAAGGAGTCTTCTGCTGATACACAGATGGCTCCAAGTCGAAGGAAGGGGTGGGAGTTAGCATAAGAGAGGGTCGAACTACGCTCGCTCAATTGCCTTATAAGAGCCAATCCAGCAGTGTTTAAATTTTCAAGCCTAGGTTATATAGCTATAAAACCAGGTGGCCAAAGGGCTACTGGGTGTGCGCATTTAGATCTGCACATACTAGGAAAGGTATACAAAACAATTCAAATTGAGAGGCTAGTTTCGAATACAAAAAGGACTGGAGATCTAAGGACCAACCGAAGCGGGTGGCGCAGTGGTTGCGTTGCCGATTGTTATTTGGGAGGTTGTGGGTTCGAATCCCACTGCCGATTGCTCTATCTGGGGTTTTGTCAGAGGCTTTTTCTCAGACGTACTTATCTTCGCATTATGTTGATATCTACGAGGCGAATGCTGGAGCAGTATTTTTCCCTCTCAGTCTAAGCACCCTGACTTCGTTCCCAACCTTAACATGACCTATCCTTACAGCCCCGTTCTCTAGCTGAAGAGAGTCAGGAACCACTGAGTAGCCCGCTTCCGGTATCCCTCAGGGTGTCGGAGGGATGAAGCACGTTGACCTTTTCCCATCCCACACAGTACGGCCTTCGGGCAGGTAGGTCGGCCAAAATAAATACCTGCTGAATGTATTAGAGAATTACCTAAATTAGATTAAGAGGGATGTCGCATAAATTCAAATATTTCAAAGGAAGTTACCTACGTGGCGACATCTCAACTAAACTTGTACAACTATAAAACGAAGGAATGTGTTTCGATTACCAACGAGATGGCGCACTTGTACCTATTTGAACATAGTATTTGAAACCATTTTTTAATCTATGATTGAAGCTAACTATTCAAAAACCGGGTCATTGAACTACAATTGCTCTACATTCGATTCTTGGTAAAAAAAGGAAGGTTAATCACTGCCTTTTTTTGAGCCCCGAAGAAAAAATTGTCTCAGATCGACCCGGAAAAAACATTTTCTTATAGAATGTGGCCTGTAGAATCCATAACTTCAAACAGTTCCAAGATTGGGCTACTAGTTCAAAAGTTACAGCCCTTTGAATTTTTTTCTAGTCTATAACTTTTGATAGGGAGGTCTGATCGAAAAAGTACGAATGAATTTGGATTCTACGCACCCAAATTAATAAGAAAAAGTGTTTTCTCGAGAAATTTTGGTGTAGTCGATTTTTGGTAAAAAAGGAAAGTATTACACTGCCTTTTTTTGAGCCCCGAAGAAAAAATTGTCTCCGATCGACCCGGAAAAAACATTTTCTTATAGAATGTGGCCTGTAGAATCCATAACTTCAAACAGTTCCAAGATTGGGCTACTAGTTCAAAAGTTACAGCCCTTTGAATTTTTTTTCGAAATTGGTTTCTAGTCAATAACTTTTGATTGAGAAGTCTGAATAAATGGCAGTTCAAAATGTACGGAGTCTTGCAAGATCTGTAGAGCAATTGTAGTTTAAAGGCGCGGTTTTTGAATAGATAGATTAAATACAATATAAAGTCACTAGATATAGAAAGTACCGCAATCATCCGCCATTTTTGGGCAAATTTGCTGCCAACTTAAAAAAATTGACAAATAAAATTGTGATAATCCACCCTGATGGTTAGGCAACACACGTTTACAGCTGAAACAAAAATATAATATGTTCTGTATATAACCAACGACCGTTTTGCGCAGATGCCGAATACTAGGGGATTTTCGTAACGAAGCTAGGGGAGAATGGGAAGAAGATGGCGATGAGGCCGACGGAAGGCACACGCTTTCCCGGTTTTTTTATTATTCTTGATTATTTTTGGTGGTGGTGTTTTGAAGATGTATTTACAGGTAGTAACCATTTTATTCTTGCTTGTACTAGATATTTAATCATTGAATTTCTTGCCACAATGTGATATTTACATTTTGCTGATTTTGCATAAACTACGATATCTGAATCATGGCGTACTCCATGCATTTGTTTCGTGTACCGTTAGATGAATCATGTTTGTGTCTTATATTGTACAGATGATTATGCCATTATTTTGTTTAATTAAGTATTTATTTCTGTTATTCATGAGGAGTTGATTATCGGTGTGATGTTGCTCTGTTCGATTGACCCGTAACTATTACGTAAGGGAAGTACCTAATACAGTTTGATGGTTCGCTGTATCTGTTACTTTCTGTTTCGTGGCGCGCTACAGTTCTTGTACGTTAGCTATACGAAGGGGGGCTCTTGTATTTGATGTTTCAATGTTTGTGTGTGCGAGTGGGTAATTCTGTCTCCGTGGAGTAGGTACCTAATGCAGTTAGAACTTTCGCTGTATCTGTTGCCTACTCGTCTCGTGCGAGTGGGGTCCCTCTCATTTACATTTCATCTATTTAAAATATGTTCTGCTTGAACGAACGATAATCGATTTTCACATGAATACTTGCTTTTGACCAATGGCATTCTCACATGTACTTTTCGTGTTAAATTAAATTATGTTAACGGAAGGCCGGAGTAGAGCCACACCATTTACATGTTTCCTATGTACATGCAGTTTGTTTATTTGACGAGTTGTGTTATCTCTATTGATCGTACAGGTATTTTGATGTGTTTTTGTACTGAATTGATTTATCATGTTTTCCACTGCATTTATGATGTCTTGTGTATTTTGTTTTTATGAACTTGTTTAATTGCATTTGATTTGATTATCTGATTTTTATCATATCATTTGAGATGTTTTATTTATGTGTATTTTCTCTTGCATTTTATTGCTGTAGGTGATTTATTTCATGTATTAGTGTGGCCTATGCCAGGGTTTTAGTCCCGGAGAAGGTTTCCCTGGCATGGTCTTGTGTGTGCGTTAATATATTTATTTGATCTTGTCATTTCATACGCACAAAAGTTCTGTCTTTTATTTAATTCCCTTCCCGATTATGTCTCACGTCCCAACACATAAAAGAACCGATTACACAACGTAGGAGTCCATTCGTGCCACCCATATCGAGCCGACTGTCATCCAAATTCAAAAGTGCCGCGAAACTACCATCGTTTTGACTTGAAAGGTAGGTGGCTCTGCTTGTAGTTTGTGCCAGAGTTGCCAACCGTAAGTATAGGGTAAGTCAACGTTTTCCGTGTCTGCTTGATAGACCCCCCTAGGAACATTACAAAATCTGAATAGGTGTAATTGTTTATAACCCAACTTCATAGTACTGTCATGTTTTATAAAAATATATACAGATATCTCCAAACAGGTGGAACAATCCCTAATATTAAAGTTACTAGAATCTGGTAACTTCCGCCATTTTTGGGCAAAAATCATGCGTTCTCTCTCTAACACACGAGCCCAATGGATTGCGGTACTTTCTATATCTAGTGCCTTTAATACAATAAGTACTAGTGCGCCATCTCCATGGCAATCGATACACTATCAATTATAGTTTTAGATGTCTAGTTGAGATGTCGCCACGTACGCACCTCCTTTTAAAATATTATTTGAATTTATGCGATTAATAGCAACGTTGCACTTATTATTCCTTAAATGCAGTGCCGTTTTTAAGTTTTTCGGGGCCCTGGGCCATTCGTTCGTGGAGGCCCTCCTTACCCTCAATAAAAACGGCAGATTGGGGAGATTCAAGCAAATCTCTAATTTGAATATGGGCAACCCGATATTTGGGTAGCCTGGTTTGTAGGCAACAAATCATGCTCAATGAACAGAAAACATTTATTTTTGCAATTCGTAACTTCTTATGGATAGGAGTTTATTTAAAGCCCTTGGAAGAACAATTTCAATAACAGGTGCATTAAACTGAACCGTTTTACAACAATTTTCACGCGAAGATCGCACAAACAACACATTTTTTCGTGATTGCAAACTGCGTAACACTTTTGCCTTATTTCGCTGCCAATTTCACTACCGTTTCTATAACCGTAGTTCTATCAAATAAACTCTAGGATCAATTCTTTAAAGAATAGCTTCGCACCATCGCCAGCTGCTGCAATCATGTAATCGTTCCGATTTTAACCTTGAGAAGTTTGAATTGCATTAGAATGGGTTTTCTGCGAGTTCTCCACGGTGTTCTCCTGTTTTGGTTACAAAGCATTTCCCTTTTCAAATTGTGTTGTCTGAATTCAATGCTAACGTTTCTCATCAATCGAGAACTACATGTCTTCGATTGCACGACCCAGAGCGAACAGTATCATATTCCGCAAAGGTTGAGTCTGACGCTTTCCTGTCACTCCCAGTAGCCAGTTCCCTAATTTAAACCTGTAAGCGAGAAAGGAATGATAAAGTTTAATTTTTGACTATAAAATAAACAAACATTCATTATGCATTTGAGGTTAAAACTTCATATATCTATGGTTATTAATAACTGCGCTCTGACATCTAACGTTAGTTTCCTAAAGTACATTACAAAATTAGTGTGGCGACATCTTTGAGGGCTAAGTACCAACTAAAATAATGGTGGTAATAAAGTGTCCTGCATTTAGCGATAAAATGTTAGTTCCCAATAATAAAGACCGATATCAGCACAATGTATTCTGCTTTGATTCCAAAAACTCGGGCAAGGCTATAAACATTTTGGGATTTGTGCCTTTCGCTGTCAAAGGAGTAAACCACGAAACTCGAAAATTAAACATTTCGCTCCTGTATTATAGTCTATTCCTTTGCGTCATAGCGTTTTTGGAATGCCAAAGGACAGGGCGGGTAAACGGACGGCCGTCCGTATACCTCTTTGGTATACCTATACCTAGATTTTTGACGATTCTAATAAAGTATTTGTTCGCAATACACGAGTTAAATCGCCATAATGGGCTACTAGTTCAAAAGTTACAGCCCTTTGAATTTTTTTCTAGTCTATAACTTTTGATTGAGAAGTCTGATCGAAAAAGTACGAATGGATTTGGATTCTACGCACCCAAATTAATAAGAAAAAGTGTTTTCTCAAGAAATTTTGGTGTAGTCGATTTTTGGAAAAAAAGGAAGGTATAACACTGCCTTTTTTTGAGCCCCGAAGAAAAAATTGTCTCAGATCGACCCGGAAAAAACATTTTCTTGTAGAATGTGTCCTGTAGAATCCATAATTTCAAACAGTTCCAAGATTGGGCTACTAGTTCAAAAGTTACAGCCCTTTGAATTTTTTTCGAAATTGGTTTCTAGTCTATAACTTTTGATTGAGAAGTCCACAGATCTATGTATGTGTAGATCTGTGCACTAATCATTCGATGATTCAGATCTTTGATTATGTCTATATTCAAAGATTCAGATATAGCCAATAGAAACAAAGGTATGATTTTCTTTTTGTTTCTATTGGCTATTTCTAAATGATAGGCAAGTAATATACCCATCATAATAGTCTCAGTAAATGACAACTAATAGAAGTTTATCAAAAATGGGATTTTATTGGAAAAATAGGGCAATGCAGAGTTGATGTCGATGTTTGGTTGCTTTATAAAGAAATCTTCTTTTGTATGGAGTACAAGTATTCGGCAGATGCGTTCAACTTTTCCCATTCCGATTGTGGAACGTCCATCTGAACAATATCCAATATACCGTTCTTGCATAGAACGCTAGGCAACGATAGGTACACGTCTGTCTTCAAGCCGTAATACCCCTAAAATTAATTTGCAATTTTTGCGATTTTTTGCGACATAAGTAGCTACATTCGCACAAACAGTGACGGCGTGGACCTTCCTGGTATCGTGTATGATTGTATTAATGATATCTGTAGCCGATAGGGCTACCGCCCAATTAGTGTACCCCTTAAAACTGTTTACAGTCGCGCCGCCCTCTCGCATCCTTTCGTAAATGCCTTGCCAGTTATCAACGTCATTGGCCGAACCCATCGAGGTATTCAGATCGGAAACGTACGCACCCCCAACTGTCCAAGTGCTATACATAGGCGCTGCAAAAGGACGTCAGCAAATGAAATATCGTGTAGGGCACGTACCGCTCGAATTGCCATGCTCCCCAAGAATCCATCCCTGGCAGCTGCTGCATGCAACACCGTAGATCTCCGACATGAGATATCGCAAACGGGCGCTATCTAAATTGCAGCCGCTTCCAATTACCTGGTGCTTCGGCAGTCCGGTCAGTTGCGCCGTGGCCCACGTCAGAACGTCGACCGGATTCGAGATGATTAAGATGATCGAATTTGGAGAGTGCCGAACGACATTCGGAATAATGGATCGCAGCAACTTGACATTGTCGGACGCTATATCGATCCTCGTGACGCCCTTTCGCGGACGCACCCCGGCCGCGATCACGCAGATACGCGATTGGCAGATGACCGCGTAATCTCGAGACCCCTCGATTACTGCGTTCTTAAAGAAGACCGATCCAAACTGATAGTCATGGAGCAATCGGTCATCGAGGTTCGGATCGGTGATGGCGATGTGAGTCGTAACATTTTTTAACAGGAGAGTTGCGCAAAGTGCTTGTCCCACAGCTCCAAATCCGATTATGCTAATTTTGTTTTCGGGGCAGACACTTTCTTTGGAATAGGACTGAATAATTGATTTCTTAGTTATAGACTCTGCACCTGTAACAAGAGCAAGAATCTAACGTTTTGATACAAGGCTCTACCAAGTACCCGAGCAAGATGAATGGCGTATTTGTAGCTGTGGACGACAAAATTGTCTTCGTATTATTGAACACCATAACATCTTTACGAAGTGACACCTGTCATGAGTCCATCATCATCATCATGACAAACATACAACTGCGAGCCTGCCATGATAATTATTACAATAAACAATTTTGAGTTTTCGATCGTAATAATAAACCTGTCGGAAACATTTCTAAATGAAATTGCCTCGTTTCAGAAAGCCACAAGGAAACAGTAATTTGAAATATTTCGAATTAGCGAATCGATTTGCCAAGTCGACCTTTAGGACAGATTCTGAATCAATCCGATGTGATCCTCGAACTAGCCACGTCGCACTAAATTTTCCGTAAATGGCAGCCCAAGATGTACGGAGTCTTGCAAAATCTGTAGATCTATGCCCCGGTTTTTGAATAGGTAATTAGTTTAAATACAATTGGTACAAGTGCGCCATCTCCTTGGTAATCTATACACTTTCTTTCATGCTATAGTATTACAAGTTTAGTTGAGATGTCGCCACGTACTTAACTCCTTGTGAAAGAGCTTTTGAATTTATGCGATTAATAGCCGTCTGCCGTGTTGGACTTAATTTTTCTTAAATGACACTTCAAGATGTACGGAGTCTTGCAAAATCTGTAGAGCAATTGTAGTTCAATGCCCCGGTTTTCGATTAATTAGTTTAAATATAATATTATTGATAAATTCAATGATGAAATGTACAAGTGCGCCATCTCCTTGGTAATCGATACACTTTTTTCACGTTATTAGTATTTTAAGTTTAGTTGAGATGTCGCCACGTACGTAACTTCATTTGAAATTGCTTTTGAATTTATGCGATTAATAGCCGCCTTGGACTTAGTTTTCCTTAAATGGAACTTCAAGATGGACGGAGTCTTGCAAAATTTGTGAAAAAATGTGTTGTGTGCGATCTTCGTGTGAAAGTTGTTGTAAAACGGTTCAGTGTAATGTACCTGTTATTGAAATTGTTCTTCCAAGGGCTTTAAATAAACTCGTATGCATAAGAAGATACGAATTGCAAAATAAATGTTTTCTGTTCATTGAGCATGATGTGTTGCCTACTAACCAGGCTACACAAATATCCAGTGACCATATTCAAATTAGGGATTTGCTTGAATCTACCCAATCTGCCGTTTTTATTGAGGGTAAGGAGGGCCTCCACGAACGAATGGCCCAGGGCCCCGAAAAACTTAAAAACGGCACTGCATTTAAGGAATAATAAATGCAACGTTGCTATTAATCGCATAAATTCAGATAATATTTTAAAAGGTGCGTACGTGGCGACATCTCAACTAGACTTCTAAAACTATAATTGATAGATAGTGTATCGATTGCCATGGAGATGGCGCACTAGTACTTATTGTATTTAATCTATCTATTCAAAAACCGCGCCTTTAAACTACAATTGCTCTACAGATCTTGCAAGACTCCGTACATTTTGAACTGCCATTTATTCAGACTTCTCAATCAAAAGTTATAGACTAGAAAAAAATTCAAAGGGCTGTAACTTTTGAACTAGTAGCCCAATCTTGGAACTGTGAAGTTATGGATTCTACAGACCACATTCTATAAGAAAATGTTTTTTCCGGGTCGATCTGAGACAATTTTTTCTTCGGGGTTCAAAAAAAGGGAGTGTAATACCTTCTTTTTTACCAAAAATCGACTGAACCAAAATTTCTCGAGAAAACACTTTTTCTTATTAATTTGGGTGTGTAGAATCCAAATCCATTCGTACTTTTTCGATTAGACTTCTCAATCAAACCTATCACCCTAACCTAACCTCACTAAACAATTTTCCTAACCTTAATCTCCTCGCGTACATTATATTCTCCTGATACAAGATTTTTGAGCTAACCTAACTATCACCCTAACCTAACCTAACTAAAAATTTTTCCTAACCTTAATCTCCTCGCACATCATATTCTCCTGACACAAGATTTTTAAGCTAACCTAACTGTCACCCTAACCTAACGTCACTAATTTTTAATCCTAACCTTCAATCTCCTCGCACATTATATTCTCCTGATACAAGATTTTTGAGCTAACCTAACTATCACCCTAACCTAACCTCACTAAAAAATTTTCCTAACCTTAATCTCCTCGCACATTATATTCTCCTGATACAAGATTTTTGAGCTAACCTAACTATCACCCTAACCTAACCTCACTAATTTTTAATCCTAACCTTCAATCTCCTCGCACATTCTATTCTCCTGATACAAGATTTTTGAGCTAACCTAATTATCACCCTAACCTAACCTCACTAAAAATTTTTCCTAACCTTAATCTCCTCGCACATTATATTCTCCTGATACAAGATTTTTGAGCTAACCTAACTATCACCCTAACCTAACCTCACTAAAAATTGTTCCTAACCTTAATCTCCTCGCACATTATATTCTCCTGATACAAGATTTTTGAGCTAACCTAACTATCACCCTAACCTAACCTCACTAAAAAATTTTCCTAACCTTAATCTCCTCGCTTATTATATTCTCCTGATACAAGATTTTTGAGCTAACCTAACTATCACCCTAACCTAACCTCACTAAAAAATTTTCCTAACCTTAATCTCCTCGCACATTATATTCTCCTGATACAAGATTTTTGAGCTAACCTAACTATCACCCTAACCTAACCTCACTAAACATTTTTCCTAACCTTAATCTCCTCGCACATTATATTCTCCTGATACAAGATTTTTGAGCTAACCTAACTATCACCCTAACCTAACCTAACTAAAAATTTTTCCTAACCTTAATCTCCTCGCACATTATATTCTCCTGATACAAAATTTTTGAGCTATCACCCTAACCTAACCTCACTAATTTTTAATCCTAACCTTCAATCTCCTCGCACATTATATTCTCCTGATACAAGATTTTTGAGCTAACCTAACTATCACCCTAACCTAACCTAACTAAATATTTTTCCTAACCTTAATCTCCTCGCACATTATATTCTCCTGATGCAAGATATTTGAGCTAACCTAACTATCACCCTAACCTAACCTAACTAAAAATTTTTCCTAACCTTAATCTCCTCGCACATTATATTCTCCTGATACAAGATTTTTAAGCTAACCTAACTATCACCCTAACCTAACCTCACTAATTTTTTATCCTAACCTTCAATCTCCTCGCACATTATATTCTCCTGATACAAGATTTTTGAGCTAACCTAACTATCACCCTAACCTAACCTCACTAAAAATTTTTCCTAATCCAAGCCTTAATCCTCCCTCGCCATTATATTCTCGCTGATGAACCAGAAGAATTTTTAAGCTAACCTAAAAACGCTAACTGATCACCCTAACTAACCTCACTAAGAAAATTTTTCCTCCTAACCCGTTAACCCTCGCACGATTATATTCTCTCGAATACATAAGATTTTTAAGCTAACCTAACTATCACCCTAACCTAAGAACCCACTAATTTTTTATCCTAACCTTCAATCTCCTCGCACATTAAATATTGCTCCTGATACAAATTTTTGAGCTAACCTAACTACTCACCCCTCGTGCCCCGGCCCCCCCGCCCGCTGCGATGGAAGAATTGGGAAGGGTTTAGGGCATTAAAAACTTAAGTTAGGTTAGGGTTAGGGTGATAGTTAGGTTCAGCTCAAAATATCTTGTGATCAGCGAGAATATAATGTCGGCCGAGGTAGTATTGGAAGGTTAGGATAACAAATTACGTGAGGTTAGGTTAAGATGATAGTTAGGTTTAGTCAAATATCTTGTACAGGCAGAAACTATGAGGGCGAGGAAGAATTGGAAGGCGTTAGGGTGTAGTTAGGTTAGCCTCGTCAAAATTCTTGTATCAGGGGAGAATGATAATGCTGGCGAGAGATTAAGGTTGACGGAAAATTTGTTAAGTGAGCGTGGTTAGCGGTGATAGTTAGGTTAGCTTAAATCTTGTATCAGGATGAATATAATGTGCGAGGAGAATTAGGGTTAGGATTAAAAGATTAGTGGTTAGGTGAGGTGAGCTAGTTCAGGTTAGCTTAACAATCTTGTTCAGGAGAATATAATGTGCGAGTGAGATTAAAGGTAGGATTGAAAATTCGTCGGGTTGGTTAGGCGGAATAGTTAGGCGTTAGCGTCAGAAACATCTTGCTATCAGGAGAATATGATGTGCGAGGAGATTAAAGGTTAGGGAAAATTTTTTTTAGTGAGGTTAGGTAGGGTGATAGTTAGGTTAGCTCAAAAATCGTTGTTCAGGAGAATAATAATGTGCGAGGGAGATTAAAAGGTTAGGAAAATTTTGTAAGGTGGAGGTTAGGCTTTAAGGATTGAATAGTTAGGTTGCTCAAATAAGTCGTTGTTATCGAGGGATAAATGTGCGAGGAGATCTAAGGTTTAGGAGAAAATTTTTAGTGAGGTTAGGTGGCGGGTGATGTTAGGGTTAGCTCCATCAAAATCTTGTATCAGGAGAATATAATGTGGCGGCGAAGAATAGCTTGAAGGTTAGGAATAAAAAATTAGTGAGGTTAGGTTAGGCGTGATAGTTAGGTTAGCGCTCCAAAATCTTGGTAGTCAGGAGAATATATGTGCGGAGGAGATTAAAGGTTAGGAAAGAATTTTTATTAATTGAGGTTAGGCTTAGGGGTGGATAGTTAGGTTTAAGCCTTAAAAATCTTGTTAGGAGAATTGCTGCGAGGATATTGAAGGTTCTAAGGATGAAAAAATTAGTGAGGTTAGGTTGGGGTGATAGGTTAGGTTCTAGGCTGCAAAAATCTTGTATCAGCGAGATATAGCT